ACTTATTTACTGGCTGGGTTTTTTTGTATCATTTAAATTGGTTCATAACATTTTTCTGTGGTGTGACAAACTCAGACACATTTAATATTGCTTTACACAGACTGTAATGCCGCCTTGCATTATTTGAACTTAATTATCACTTCACATGAGGTGCCTTTTTTCAAGCCTGTGAACTTTTAATGAAACAAGTTTTCCCTACATGCATTAGTAACTGGTGATAAAGCTTGTTTGTTTCTTGTTTTTTTTTGTGTACAGATTTTTAAAAATTGGCCCAATGTTAACAGTATTTTCAATTGAATATTAAACTTATGGAGACTGTTAAAGTGCATTGCATCTGTTTTGTCTTTATTCTTTAACAAGGATAATTGCTTTAGTGTATTTGTCTTATGTTTGCCAAACAAAGGATATTTTTATTTGGCACTGCATTCATATAGCAATTGTCAGTTAAAAAGCAAGAACGTACAATAATATAAAAATAATTTTTAAAAACAAGCACACAAATAAAATGCTATGTATTGGTAAACCGTCCTGTGTAAATTTAAAGCAGTTGAAGACTTTAGTCAATATTGCCATTACAGTTAACGGTGTAACATTGGGGTTTCCTGCCCTCTGGTGTTCTTCTAGCCAACTGAACTGCTCAGTGACACCTTCATTTAAAATCCCCAGAAACACAGGAAGTATGAAGTAAAGGCACGTGACAGTGCTAGGCAATCCAGATCCTTTCCAGTCACAGGTGTTTCCTAAACTACTCTGCTTTCATCGTCAGTGCAGAAAGGATCCAACTGCAGTGACAAATGACCTTTTGGAGTGGGTACATAACATTGTGTAACCCTACATTACGATCCTGCACATGGACCTGTCTGAAGTAAACACGTGCAGGAAAACATTTCAGATCTGTTGTGCTTTAGCATCTAAAAACATTTCAAAGTGAAAACGGTAAAATGCTGATAATAATTGGATTGATCACCATATTCAGTGACTTAACGTGCATAATTTCATCTGTGAGCTCCACTGCTATTGAAATGCAGGTAAATTGCATTTGATCCAGCTTAGTTTAGATGACAAATGTACTGAATAGTCATGTTGTCCTCACTGATCAATCCTGAAAGGAACTTTAGTTTTAGTGCCATGCCAACATTAATGTCAAAACTAACTACCAGGCAATGATTGAAGCACCAAATAAAGCAAAGACTTGGATTATGTTGAGGAGATATTGAAGGACATTTTATTCAACAACTCAAACTTTTTCACAGAAGATATAAGCCTATAATAAAGGTGCTTTTTCCTCCACTCATTTCATTATGCACATCTCTCTCTTTCAATCAGTGAAGGGACCAAAATGTTCAACATGCACCTGGATTGCTGACAGATAGGCAATTGATTTTATTCCAACTATTTCAAAACAAAACATAAAACACTCAAATGTGACAGCAGCTGATACAAAGCTTAAATGACAATCATTTATTTTATACATGTTATAGTCTCTTGTTCCAATTAAAATACCAAAAGAAAGGAAAAAAAAAAAGTTTACAAATAAAATAAAGTGGTAAAAATTGCGCACCGATACAAACAAACCTAAAAATGGATTGGTGATAATGTCCCATTTCTATTTTGTTGTTTTAGGATCTCTCAACTCCTCTTCAGTTAGGTCATTGCTCTCCAACAACAACAAAAAAGTCTCAAGTCCAGGGCCAAAAATGTTTTATGGTTAGATTTAAATTTGTGAATACTATGACAAGAAAAAAATGCAAGTTACACAAAGTACGTAGCAATTACCCTTTTCTCTTTGAACTGGGGTTGCCTCTAAAGGGCCGCAGGGAGAGGATGAGGGGCAAGAAAGAGTTACTAGATGCGGGATCATCTGTGCGTTTACTACAAGGGAATCGGGTGGACAGGAATGGCTGTATGTAATTCTCATCATTTAAGGCAGCCCTGAATCAGATTATAAACACCTGTTTGTTGTGCAACTAGATCATTTTTTTAATCCCCGCTGTTGGAGCCGGACAAGATATTTGCTGTAGTTACTGATGGGCACACTGCACGCCAGGACCGTGATGCCCTCCTTCTTCATCCGAGCTGTCGTTGTATGCCTCACGGCGGTGACCACCAGAGGAGCTCTGGCTTACAAACTCCTGCAGGTCCACTTCCTCTGCGTCTCCAGAGATGACTGGTGGATCAGCTCGTGTGGGCAACAAGTCCTCCAACTCCTGAAAAAATATGCATATTAGGGGAAAGAAAACCCGGAATTGTGTTTTTATTTAAAAAAAAATAAAAAAAAGTATATTTACACTACTGTTCAAAAGTTTGAAGTCAATAAGATTTTTTTTCTTCAATGTTTTGCTTTTATGCTCAATGCTGCAGTTGTTTGATAAAATACAGTAAAAACTGTAATATTGGGAAATATTGCAATTTAAAACAACTTAAATTTTAGTGTAACTTATTCCTGTGATGCAAAGCTAAATTTTCAGTAGCCCTTACTCCAGTCTTCAGTGTCACATGATCCATCAGAAACCATTTTAAATGGCCGATTTGGTGCTCAAAAACATTTAATGTTGAAAACAGTTGTGCTCTTTTATATTGTGGAAACAGTGATACATAAGGACTCTTTGGGGGGAAAAAGCGCGCTTATTTAAAAAAATATTTTGTAACATTATAACTGTCTTTACGGTCACCATCAAATTAAATGCATCCTTGCTTAAAGGGGACATCGGATGCAAAATTCACTTTTACATAGTGTTTGAACTTAAAGGCGTGTTGGCAGTGTGTACACGCAGCCACCCTATAATGATAAAAATCCACCCAGTGCTTTTTTTAAATCCCCACAAATCATAAGCACTTTCTCAGATCAAGCTGTTCACAGATTCTGGGCAAAGTGATGTCACTTTGCACAGGCCCCTCCCACGACAGTTGACAGACGCTTCCGTTTTAGCATAGACCCACATTGAGTGAGCTGTAAACAGTCCACCATTGTTTCGACGCTGGAGCAGGTGTAGACAAGAATGCCTCCTAAGCGATTGAGGGGTTTTGTTGTTGGGTGTAAGAATAAACATAGCAGTTGTCATTTACTCCCGACATCTGAGCAGTGGATTACTTTTGTTTTTGAAGGGAATGCGCCCCCCGATCTACATGAATGCGTTTATGTCTGTGCGAATCATTTTACTCCAGACTGCTTTCTGAACGAGGGACAATTCAAGGCAGGTTTTGCTAAAAAGTTCAAACTCAAGGATGGATCAGTTCTCACTGTCCGTGATCCAGCTGCACCTCCAGAAGTAAGTCTCACACTTCTATGGAAGAGAGGGGCGGGGTGAGCAGAGTTCATTAGCATTTAAAGAGACATGCATCGAAACGGGTCGCTCTGATCAGAGCTGTTTTTGACAGGGTAAAAAGGGTGTTGTTTTACACTACCACTGAGAAATTTTAACCAAAGTATGTTGTAGACTTTTCATGAAGACCCTAAAGAATCATATCAACTTGTGGAAAATGGGCATCCGATGTCCCCTTTAATAAATAATAATAATAATAATAATAATAATAATAGTACTGACCCCAAACCTTTGAACAGTAGTGCATGTATAACCCTTGCTACGTGTACTGCGTTAAGCTAACTGAGACTTGTTATAGCACTTGCGTATCGTTGCTCTTTTGTTGATTTTGATTGCTTCCATTGTCCTCATTTGTAAGTCGCTTTGAATAAAAGCATCTGCTAAATGACTAAATGTAAATAATATTCTAATATAATATTCTAAAAAAAACTTCAAATGTACGTTTTATCTTACCGACAGCTTCTCTGGGCTTAACCAATTGTTGTCTGGGAACTGCACGTCAAACTTGATGAACAGGTCACCCTTCTCGAAGGGGTTACGGTAGTGTGGCATGCCCTCTCCTCTAACAACTCTGACTGAACCTGTAAAGACACAACACCATTTTTTAGACTATGTAACAAACCACTTAAAACTCGACACTACGAAACTAATTTCAAGAGGACTCACCTGGCTCAATGACTTTACCAGCTGGGTATTTCACCACAATCTGTCTACCATCTAAGTGTTTCAATGTGAAATGGAAACCACAAAGTGCTTCAACAAGGCCGATCTTATGGGTCATGTGCAAGTCGTTGCCTTCTCTTCTGAACGTCTGTTGAAAGAGTTTAAAAGCTTTAGCTTTACTGAACATATTAGATAAAAAAAAAAAAAAACACCCTAAACTGATGCTTCTGTGATATCCCATATCAGCCCAAAACAGACATGACTCTTGCTTCACTTAGAGGCTTGAAAGGGTGGGATTAGAACCTGTAAAGCAGCATGTTCATGACACACTGTCACTGCAATCTGCTTTACGTTCCTGCAGCAGCTCAGCAGTCAAGAGGCCAGAAGCTTTAAGGCCTGATCATCTGCATGGCTGAATCAAAACGGTACAGAACAAGTTCTTTGTTACTTGCTGGTAATTAAACTTATTAGTGAGTCTAAAGGCTGCTTGAGCTCTAAACTTCCTGGGTAACTTTTATTTAAACACGTTTTGAATACATCTCACAGAACATCACACACACAACTAACAGCATTATTCATGGATATGTACAATATATTGGCTACTCAACTGTTCATTCCACTATTTATACATTTATGTTCCAACTCCTACCTACCGACTCATTCTTTAAAAATACTAAGTTAAATTATTAAAAAGATACCTCTTGCCCCCAAGCTGGGCACATTTATACTCTGAATTTTAGAATTACCAAATATGAATGAATGTTTCAGTGACAAACAACAAAGGAATCTTTGTTTGCTGGAGGCAAAACATGTAATGTTTTCAGAAAAAAAAAGACGGGGTTTCTCAATGGAAAAACAGCATGACCTTATTGTAGTGCTTTGGGGGGGAAAAAAATAAATAAAAAATTTAATGAAAAACTTTAGAATTGAGTATATAATCAAAAAGGCTATTACTATACACGTACATGGAGGTGTAAGTGTTTCCCTCTATTATTATTGTTAATGCATTTTCTTCATACATTTTTTTTTACATTTATTAAATATCAAGATGAATGTTAATGTTTCACCTTTTAACATGGATAAAATAACTGTATAGTACTAATATCAGCCATTGCGAAAAAATTCAGTCTCGGACAAATTCGTAATAAGGTTTAAAGGCTTTTTGCCCAGATATGAAAAACCCCCTGTTCACTTAATCTCGGAAGTTTCTGATCTAACTAAACGTCTCTATCATAATAGTTTCTGAACCTGAAAGTGAACATTGACAAACCTCATGATCTTTTTCCTGCAGAACCAGGACAATGTCTCCAGGTTCTAATCCAGGTGCTTGGTCAGCCTCCCCGCCGAAGGTGATCTTCTGTCCGTGCTTCATACCTTTATCCACATGCACTTCCAGAATCTTCACCTCTTTAATCACCTTCTTCCCCTCACACTTTTTGCAGCGATCCTTCTCACTGATCACCTCACCTGGATCATAAAGAAACCATTAGCAAATCTTACCTACACATGAACATGCTGGCTGACATTCATAAAGTACATTCAGACTCCAGTCCCTTACCTTCACCGTTACAATCAGTGCACACTGACTGCATCTGTTGGACCATGCCAGGAGCCAGTTGTCTGATCATAATGCGCATACCACGCCCCCTGCAGGCTGTGCACTTCTGGACTGCACCAGACTTCCCGCCTTGACTGCAGACACAAAACAGCTTCAGTTTGACAAATACTTCAGCACATACACACTTCAGCCAGGGAAAGTTTCAAACTCTTTAAAAGCCACTGTGGTCTGTTTAGCTCAGACTGATTTAAAGGGGTCATATGATGCGATTTCAAGTTTTCCTTTCTCTTTGGAGTGTTACAAGCTGATTGTGCATAGATAAGATCCCTGAAGTTGCAAAGACTAACGTCTCAAAACCAAAGAGATATTCTTTATCAAAGTTAAGACTCTGCCACACCCC